ACATCAAGATCTGGACGATATGCGCACAAAACCACAAGAGAAAGGCCATGGTGTGACAAAGCCCAAAGTAGATGGTAAAGTTTGCGATCCGAAAAATGTGTCGACGAAGAAGCACAAATGCGTTCAATGTGAGTATTCCACCGATCGCAAAGACAATTTTAATAAACACTTGTTGAAACACACTGGCAAGAAGCCACATGGTTGCGATATCTGCCCGAAACGTTTTACAAGCAAACGAAATCTCCGTGCCCACATGAAAGTGCACGTCGAAGAGTTTCTGTTCCATTGCCCGGTCTGTTTGCAAGGATTCGATGGAAAAAACGGAAAGGGAGCACACGAAGTCAATTGCAAGACTCATATGCTCTCTCACTCTGGTGAATATCCGTTCGAATGTCAACATTGTTCGAAGCAATTCAACCAGAAAGTTGGCCTCAACAAGCACATGGTATCTCACACAAAAAATCTTCCGTTCAACTGTTTTATCTGCCGCCGTTTTTCAAATAATGTCAAGAGAAAGGCTCATCAGCGGAACTGCAATCGACGCTACTACGAGTGTCATTTGTGCAAGAAGTTCTTCCGATCATCTAATGCTGAATTGAAAAGTCACATGCATGTTCATTCAGGTGACAAGTCATTCTAATGTGAGCTATGTGGCAACACATTCACACTGAAATCGAATGTGAACAACAACATGAAAAACGTTCACAACAAAAAATGCTGATTACCGCGATTGACTTGCACGGATTCTCTCATCAACCATAGAAGTATATCAGATCAAGTTCATTGCTAAAAAAGATATATGTACAGAATCGCGGGCAAACCCAATTATTCCAATCTTTCAATATAGAAGTTACATTCAAAATCTTATACTTGAAGAATAAAGTTGGTAGCATTTTTCTTGTGATTGTAAATCTTCAGAATTCAATATCTATCTCTATTGTTTGAAAAATCAGTTTAGATCTCTTCCATATACGAACCGAATTATTCTATTCATAGCAATCGAATCGAACCTATGGACGACAATAAACGCAAATTTTTGTAAAACGAATTTGAACTTGCATTACTTTATTCACGACCAGTGACATCTCACTGAGTTTCATACCAAATATTGACACTTCATTCCCCACACAGACGGCTGACACTTATACAATCATAAGCGCTACATCACATCGCGTCGTCGCTGACAGTGTTATAGTAATTTGTTTTCATCGATGACAATCGGAGTGAACACACGTTTCACAACATCGCTACTGCCAGCTCAGCAATTTGTCGATTCAGAGCCAACAAAGAAAGAACAATTCGATTAAACACAAGCAAAATCAGCCTTTGCTGTAAGTTGAAGACATTTTCGATTATTTTTAGAGTAAATAACAATTTGAATTGATAAAACCCAGTCGGAGGAAATCTTAAAATTGTGAAACAAATGAGGGATGAAAAGAAGTGAGCAATTTTTTATGTCTCACTGTCTAGTAGTGAATTCATTTTGAAGACATCAATTGTTTGTATTGGACTAACGAAACCAAAAGTCGCTCATTGAATTAATCGTTGGTCAATTAATTATAATAATTTGATGTATCGAAATTCATAAGAACTAATTGGCAATGCTGGGGGTATTCGGGGAGAGTGTTTCTTTCGTAAAAACAAACCTAACCCCAAAAGTTCTCTTTGCTGTGTTTTAAATGTCAAAATCTTTGCATCGAATTTCAGGCGATCAGTAAACGAGAAGCAGAGTTCTGGCCTTCCAACCGATACGAATGACCTGAGAATGTCCGCGAACCAAAACCACATCCAGTCGGCTGGTTCAATCGAAATCAAGCAAGAAGGTGACATCAAGCAAGAGCCAGTGTCCATGGATGAAGTGGTTGAAGTTTCGGCTTCGAATTATCGCAATCTACGACGTGTTCCTGGTTTCAATGGGCGTGACGTTGAATATGATTTGGATCACTTGGACGAGATCGATGCTAAGGTCGAGGTGAAGAAAGAATGTGACGGAAAGAAAGGAGAACCAACAACAAATGCTGACTCGAAAGAAGAAGCTACGGGCAGCCAGCAAAAGCAGCAGCAGCCACTGCCACACGGTGAAGGCGATTTCATCGTCCCAGAAAGTGATGCCAGTGGACGCGATACACAGAAACGAGGTGACAAAGCTCATCTAAATTTATCGAAGAAACATAAATGCCACATTTGCGTCTATTCAACGCGATGGAAATGTGATTTGAATCGCCATTTACTGAAACACACTGGCGAAAAGCCGCATGGATGCGATTTCTGTCCGAAACGTTTTACAAGCAAACAAAATCTCCATGCCCACATGAAAGTGCACGTCGAAGAGTTTCTGTTACATTGCTCGGTTTGTTTGCAAGGATTCGATGGAAAAAACGGAAAGGAAGCTCACGAGAACAATTGCACGACTCGTCGCTACGAATGTCATTTGTGCAAGGAATCGTTTGGATCAATAAAAACACATATGATGGAGCACACGCATGTGCACAGCGGTGACAAACCATTCCAATGCAACGAATGCTCGAAGCAATTTACACAAAAAAGTCATCTTAAGGAACACATGAAGGTTCATGGTGGTCCACGTTCATTCCGCTGTACCAGATGTCAACTGGGATTCGTTCGCCAAGATGAAAGAAATGCACAAGAGGGGAAGTGTAATCGCCGTTTGTATGAGTGCTATGTTTGTGGAAAGTCATTTGGTTTCAACAAATGCAATTTGATCGACCATATGCGCACACACTCTGGTGAAACCCCGTTCGAATGTCAACATTGTCCGAAGAAATTCAACCAGAAAAGCAATCTATACAAGCACTTGGCATCTCATACAAAGAAGCTACCATTCAAATGTTCAATTTGCCGACAAGGTTTCGCGAAACAATCTCAATGCAAAGCTCATGCAAAAAATTGCCATCGACGGTGCTATGAATGTCATTTGTGCAAAAAATTGATCGGTTCAGTCAAAACAAATATGGAAAGACATATGCGAACTCATTCCGGTGCTAAGCCGTTTCAGTGCCAGCTGTGCCACAACCAATTCACCTCAAAAGGGAGCCTTCAGAGACACCTCAATTTACATCAAAAGAGAACCTTCAGGAACACATAAGTCGTATCCACAACAAGCAAAATCGTTGATCAAATCAATCTCATCGAATGGGTTGCCTGAATGAA